TAAATTATTATTTTATTTAAAAAATACTAAATACAATTAAATTTTCCAGGCAAATTTGTCTGGAATACAGTTTAAGGAATAATAAAAGGAGATAATATTAACTAGAAAACAAATTAGCAAAATTCTAAAAATTAAATTAAATATTTAAATATTTGTCAAATAAATTAATTTAAGAATTTTATTATTTAGCGCACATGCATTGTGACGTACTCCATAAGATCTGGTGTAATATAAAATCAAAACAAACCAACAATGTATTAATTTAGAGTAAGGGTTAGCACTAATGTAGGGCTAAGTTAGATTGTAGATAAATATTAGTTATATCTAAAATTTTGCAAGAAATTTTTTTTGTTAGGACGCAAAAGGTGATTTCATAAGCAAAATTATGTGTTACAAGTGATTTTTTCAAAATATTACTATTTTTTTTGATTTCATATTACACCTGATCTTACAATCTGATTGGTCGATTAGGTAGGTATGTTATAACACAGGTGCGCTAAATTATATAACTCTTAATTTAAATTTGATTTAATTTAAAATTTTTATATTTAAATTTGATTTAATATTAAATATTTAATCAAATCAAATTAAATCAAATCAAATTGTAAAACTTTAGAATATACTAACTTAATATAATATTAACTATAATAAAATCTAAGTTAAAAATCAAGATAAATTAGATTTATTTTTAATAATATAATGCAAAACCTATAGTTAAAAATAGAAGTTGCTTGTTATTTAAAGAATTTTGTAATATTGAACTAGTTTTTAACAAAATAGATTATTAAAGCAATCTATAAAATAGTATAATAAACAAGTCTAAATTTGGATAATCGATATTGTGGCTTAGCCAATTTAATAAAAAATTTTTTTGATTTTTAATATAGTTTAAAGTACTTCGTATTCTTGTAATTTTTCAAAACCTATCAATTAAATCTGTACTAAAAAAAAGTTAGCAAAAGACCTTCACATAACCCACCTTGTATTAAAATTAATTACAATATTCAAGAAGTTTTATTAAAAGCGAGTTTTATAAGAAATCAAAGATAGTTAAATTTATAATTCGAACAAAAAAAGGTTTTTATATTAAAACTAAAAGTAAACAGTGTAAAACTAAGTTTTAATACTTTTTAAAAAAAGCAATAACAAATCTAAAGTAGTTCTTATACAAAAAACAGAATAAATAGATAAATTATCTCATTTTTATATGATTTAAATATATGTTAAATTTTAACTATTTTTAATTACTACAATTTAAAATACAAATAGAATCAATTTAAAAATGATCTAGCAAAGTATATTTATTGAATAAATTAAGTAGAAACAATATATACATACTTAAAAATAAAATTTTATTAAAAATATATAAGTGAATAAGGGATTATAATATTGTTAATATCTCGTATTTTAGTGAGTGAGATTTGATAAATCTTATACTATTCGATTTATCTCATTAAAACAAATTAAATAATATAAGATTCATCAAATTCTAACTACTGGATTGTAAGATATCTTTGATTTAATAAATAAAAATTTTTCAAATATAATTGTAATATTATAAAAAAATTGATTGGCCAATTATTATATGCACAGATATAACCAATTGTTTAATTTTATGTGACCGATCATCTCTGTACTTTTATTAGACAAATCAGTTCTGAGTCACAAATTTTAAGTTTGAAAAGTTTGTACTATCACGCTTGTCCACCATACTCTATAAAATATAGTTCTGGTAATATACTATATAGAAAGTATAAACAAGTTAGTAAAATATTATTATATTTAAAAATATTAAGTTCTAAAATAGATAAATTAGTAGTACAGTCTAATGACCTAGCATCACTACAAAAAAATGGTAGCCAGATAAATTTGCTAGGTTATATATGATTTACATGATTTTGGATGCATGTGATAATTACTATTATAATTATTTATGTACCATTACATCATAATTTAATTGACCATTTAATTATAATAATAATTTAATAGTGATAGTCAAAAATGTACTATAAATACAAAATTATTTGCTTTTGTACTCATTTCTTTTCTTCACTTGAAGTTTTTTTTGGTATAAAAATTATGTTGCGCACTATATAGTGCAAATCAAAAGAAATCTTTTACATCTGATTCTTTTTTTTTTAAACGTTTTTTAATAGATATTTTTTTTTTTATAAACATTTTTTTTTTAATTAAACAAAGAACAATTAAAAAAAAGGAATCTTCTGTTAAATTTTCTATATCAAACAAACAAGACAAGAATTGTAAAGGGTGTTATTCTATATGAAGTTATGATGAATTCTTAAATGAAAAGGGAATTGCGGTGACAAAGTGTTTACAATATCGAAGCAACCTCAAACTTTCACGTTTAAAAAATGAAAAACCTGATATAATAATTAGTTATTTGGATATTAGAGCAGTATCATTTATCATCTGATTATTTTTTATCAGAGGCTTACCCCCTTCTCCTCTCTTAATATAAAAAAAATCAGGTTCTTATATATAATTTTAATTTTTTTTACCCCTCCTTTCTAAAAAATCACCTGATTTTTGTCATGTCCCTTACTGAAACGGTATATAATTCTTTAACTTCTTTAAATGATACTGACAAATTTTATGAAAAAGAAAATGAAGGATTGGAGTTAAAATTTAATGTTGAGTTGCTGTCTTTTTTTGATGCGATTTCTGATGAGGAATTACAAAAAGAAAATGTTGACTCTGAAATTTGTTATTATATAATCACTCTTATTTCTGAAGACGATGATTACTCATGGGTTTATCACATTAAAAATCAAAAAAAAACTTATTTCTTGTAACTTATTATTGTAATTGTCATATTGAACTTGGAAAACAACAAGCAAAACATCCTGAAATAAATAAACAAAGAGATATACTTTCTTATTTAAAACAATACTATTGTGAAGGAACAATAAATATAGAAATTTTATCAAAGTTAGATTTAATTCAAGTTGTTTATTCTTATAAAATATTACATCTGTGACCAAGACATGTTGTGATAATATTTGAAATTAAAACTTTTATTAAAGATAATATTGAAATTTCCGTACCTGAAATCTGGCATCAAATTCAAGAATCTTGTATTAATGGATATGAGAATTTAACAGTCCAACAAACTTACTATTGGTGGTCCATTGAATCTCGTAAAAGATATTGTCGGGATTCAGATCCTTTATTGTTAGCTAAACATTTGTTAGAAGAATTTAATCAAGAAATTGTTGTAGACAACCTTAATTCTTCTATGCCTGTGCTAGGTTTTTAATATTATTATTTAACAGATTACTTTGTAATAAATTTGATGTGATCGCAATTGATGCAATATATAGTACAAATAGTTTGGCCTGTGAGCTATATTCTGTTATAGGCATAATCGATAGTACTGGATTCTCTCTTAGTTATCTTCTTATTGCAGCTGGAAGGCATTGAAATATAACAGAAATTCTTTTTCAGTGGATGCAAACTTTGAAAGAATGTCATTTGAATAATTTTTCTTTTATTCTTACAGACAAGAACTTTTCAAAAATCAATGCTACACAAGCTATATAGCCCGAAGCCTATTTGCAATTATGTATTTGGCATGTGCGATGGGCAATTAAACATCGATTAGTATTCAACAAAATAAATACGTATTATTTTATAATCCAAAAAGTATACATAAAGCATGTTCTGCGGTAGACCCTAATTAGAGAATTGTAAATGAATCAAATTCTATATTTTGTTTCTTGAAGCTGCAAAAGGCTGTAATGGATCTTGTAGAGAACCATTCAACCCGTCATATGCTATTGCCAAAACCTGATAGCACTTTTACTACAAGTTCAACTAAAATTTGGAAAGAATCTGTTAATGAAATGATGCAATTTTGTAAAAACAATAACTTGCTTCAACTGTGAACCTATTTTTGGAAGGAGTGGTACTCTAAAGATAAGTAAAATTTATGGGCACATGCAGCTAACATAAATATTAGCCATATTAAAACTACAATGATAGTTGAATCCCACTAGAGACAAATTAAACATAACTATTTGTACAAGTTTTATAAGCCAAGAATTGATCATTTATGCTATATCCTTGTAAAAAAAGTTATCAATCGGCATTTATATCGAATTCAATTATTAGAACAAAGTTGATACTTGGTACTATAGCATAAGAAGTTTAAAAAGGAATGGAGACAACATGAAAAAAAAAAATACAAGAAAATAACAAGTATTTTACAGATCTGGTAAATAGATATATGTATATCCTATATATATTTATAGCTGTTTCTTTTTATGCAAATATTTAATTAATTCGGTAGAAAAGGTTGATCTGATATTTTTTAAGAAAGTAAGAATTCTTTAGCGTTAAATATTATTTGTAGTATATATGTATGTATATAGTACTTCATAATATTTTTTTTGTGTAGGTTCAATGAAATAGAAATTATCCATTAATTTTCTTTTATAATAGCAAATTGGTAAATGTGTTCTGTTTGGAAAACTCTATACCTTTAAATACTTTATCATTTCAAGAAGAATCGATTATTAAGTATGAAGTTAGTAGTGACAAAAAAGAAAACAAATATGAAACAGAGTTGGAGTATTTGCATGAAATATTAAACAAGGTAATTATAACAAAATTCTATCATGCAGTATTTATTCGATTTATTAATTTTCTATTATTCTGTAGACTAAAATACTTCTAGAAGAGTCATACAACAAACCTAAAGGACATTTATGGTTAAAAAATATTCATTCAAATTTTAAATCATTAGAAAAAATGAACAATGATATTGTGGCATTAAATAATCATCTAACAATGCCAAAAACTTGGAAAGATTTTATTAAAAATACAATGTACTGGGTATAAAAATTATGCTTAAATTTTTTAAATTGCAAATTTGTAAAAGAAAAAAAAAAAAAAAAAGTACATATAAGGCATAAGTATTATAGAAATAGGTGGTATTTGTGATGTATTTGAGTAGTATTTAAAAACTATGTAGATTTCTAAAAACGATCTTGAATTGTTTTATAAACATGGCATATATAACAATAATTCGTATGAAAAGAGAAGTTGCTTGAGCAGCATTTAATTTGTTGAAAATGATAATTTGGCAATCAATGTAGTATTATACAGCAAATAAATAATAAATTAATAAATTTGCAAAAAATTGCACTATTAATTTTTCAAATATTCGAAGTTATTTAAACAATCAGTAATATTCATCCAAAATCATGTAAATCATATGTAACCTGGCAAATTTATCTGGCTACTATTTTTTTATAGTAATGCTAGGGTTGTTAGTACAGTCTAACCTTCCTAAATGCAATATGTACAGACTAGTCGAAAATGTGTATTTAGGAAAAGCTAATCAAATTGTAGTTTTTAATATTTAATCTGCAGGTTTGTATAATATAATTTAATACTGAATTCTGATTGGCTACATATATTTAGAGAGGTTAGTATAATATAAAAAATCTTTTAAATAAATGTGCATTTATAGAATATAGAACATGCATTTAGTATTAATAATTTCATATAGCCAAGACAAAAATATGTATTTAGAGAGGTATTGTATTTACAGAGGTTGCATTTAGAAAGGTTTGACTATAGTAGCAGGTTTTAGCTTAAAAAATAAATAAAAGGCTTGATAACAATAAACTATTAATTTTTTTATATAAGAACCTAATTAGACAATAGAGTTCTAGCTTGAAATATAGACTATAAAAAGGTTATTTGTATTAGTAATAATTGTCGTTTACAGATATATTAAATTGAAAGTTTATAAAAAGCAAAATAATTTAGTAATATCAAATTAAAAATTATAACAAGATATAGTAAAATATAGAAAAAATATAATAATTATTAGAAAAATAACAATTTAGATTAATAGACAATCTATCTATCATCTGCAAATTTTATAAATAAATTTTACTATTAAGCTAAATATAGAGAAATTTTTTCTAAAACTTTTTTTCTTACTAAATAAATCACTCTTAGACTTCTAACAAAAGTTGTAGAGCTCATCAAGATGCATCTAATAGTAGTAAGAATGCTAAAATTGGCCTTGTGGTTCTTGAAAAATCTTTAAAACATTTCACTAAGATATAAATTTTTTTTTTTTTGAACATATTGGCAGCCTCACCGATATCTTTATTAAATCAAAGCATATGTACAAAGTATAATTTAAACTATCTAAGTTACAGATCCGACATTACTCGGCTGCTCCTAAAGGTACCCAAGTGCGGTCTGCTTTACTGGTTAAGGCTATTGCCCGTACTGGAGGGCTATACCAAGCTAGCCTAAGAAACCATCACACAACAGTTTCAAAACGAACAAATTTTCTACTACATTATATTGGCAAATTTCTCTTTCTAAATTATCACCTTTTTTGAACAAAACTCTAACTCTAATTTTTTAAAAATAAACTAACAAATTTTCTTTTTCAAAACAAGATTATTGCCAGAATTTTTTCGTTTGTGTTTATATTTCTTTTTCCTTTTTCTCTTCTTTCAGTTCAACCTGTTTCTTCCAAATTGAAAACCGAATCTTGAGAGTCTTTTCTTATTCTTTCCTATATCTTTCCCTTTCTGATTTATAGCTTCGACCTTTCTTTTTTCTTCTTCTTGAGGGCTTTGATCTACTGGTTTCTTCTAAGAATATTCTTCTATACCTTTTCTTTTTCTTCCCTTTTTCTTTAAGTACCGTGAGTCTTTTTTTAGTTTCTCCGTTTCAAGATTTTGATAAGTCTGCTCAGGTTCTTTTTTTTCCGTATTCTGGGTATGAGAGTCTACTTTTCCTCTTTTTCGGGTCTTTCTATTTTTCTTTTTCCTTCTGTAACTTGGTCTTCTTCCCAAGAATCTATCTTGTATTTTGTTAAAGATCTTTCGATTTCTGAGATATCCTACAAAGAGCTTTTCTAATATTTTTAATAATATATCCTTCTTCTTTTTTTTCTAATTTTTGATACCCCTCGGCCTAGATGTTACTGTGCTTTGAGACGAATTTGTATTCAAATTCCATTGGGACTTCTGTCCAAATATCCAATTTGCCAGAAGATCCTTTTTCGTCTTTTTCCACATTTTCTTATTATGCTATGAATCATCTTTAATACTAATTTGATATAATATTTCCATTAACCAATCTTCTGAGGTTGTTAAAATAATTTTAGGTCTTGATTCCTCTTGAATCTTGTTTAGTGCTTTAGCCTCTACAAGACTAGGAATATTTTGTCCTTTGCTTTGGTTTTGCTTTTCTTTTCTGATTTTTCTTCTTTTCTTTTTTTGGCATGCTAGGACGAGTTTGACAAATACTTTAAAATATATTAATAATGTTCTTATATCTGAATTATTATTCTGCCTTTGTCAGATTTTTTTTTGTTCTTGAAGTCTCTTGCTCTAACCTAAATCCAACTTCGATTTTATTTTGGCAGCTTGTCTTTCTTTTTATTGAACCTGCATCTTTTCTTTTCTTTTATTTCTTTTCTTGTTTCTTGTTGGTTTGTTGCTATAGTTTTGATCGATTCTTTGAACTGATATATTGTAGAATTCAGGGCTATTTTGTTGAGCTGTCTTCATTAGCTTTTCTTTGTTCTTAGAGTCTCTTGCTCCAACCTACTTCTAATTTCGCCTTTAATTTAGCATGTTGTTTTTCTCTTTCTACTAATAATCTTCTAACTCCCTTGGCAATTCTTAATTCTGCTATATAACCAATTATTTCTTCTATTATAATACAATGGATAGGGTCTTTTCCATCTTGAATTGCTTTGAGAAAAATCTTATGTTCTCTTTCTATCAGTGCAAGTTCTATATATTTTAATTTTCCTATATTATAGTATCATAACTTCTCATAGAGCTCTGCTATTTTTCGTCAGCTATTTTTTTCAGAATGAGCTCTTGCCCAGCATATTCTACCATTATTTCTTCTATTTTCGTATTTATTATTTCATCAGTTATTGCTGCTTTTTTGTCCTGGATGTCTGCTATTATCTCTTTCATATCTTCTGGAGTATTGAAGTTAACATAACTTTGTCTATATATTTCTATATCTTCATGTACTTCTTTTGCTTTTATCTTTGTTAATTCTGCTATGACAGGTTTTTTCCAGAACTTTCTGTTGTTGTTTGCTTCACGTGACTTGTTGTTTTTTGACTACTGTTGTTTGTTGTTGTTTGCTGTGGTTGTTTACCATTTTTGTTTACTTTCATTACATAGTTTTTGTCATGTTTTTTTTTTTTTTTTTTTTTAAGGTGAGGCCTTACTCATATCTTTATTAGTAAAAATTTTTTAATAGTAACAGTGTAGATTACTACAATGCAGCCACCGAGACTTCCACTTGTAGTCAGAGCAAATTATTAAACCACTATATATAGAAATTTACAAAGCTACTACTATTTGTACCAGTA